CACCTCATACGTTAGTAGGTAAGAAGTTTATACCTACTGATTTCTCAGAGGTCAGAAAAGAAGCTCTAGAAATGGAAGTGGTTGGGTCCACCTTGGATCCAAAAGTTCTAATCAAGGAGGAGAGAATCATATGCAGGACATTTTTGGTTGAAGATCAGGGTGTATCCCAGACCAGAAGTTTGGTAAATAGAGAGGTCCAAGTCTTGAAAGGAAGACTATGGTCTTAAATACAACAGAGACAGCATTGACAAAAACATAATTGCAAGGAATTGAGGTGCAGGTTTTCAAAGACAGAAGAAACGCAGCTGGGAGATGCCAGTAATAAAGGGGGAAACTTGACAAATGAGGTGGCTTCCCTACCATAAACTAAAGTTTTTTTTTCTCTTTTCCATTTCTTGCTAATTTAGTTAAGAAAATTCTTTCACCTTTTCTCTTTCCCACTTAGCCTTCTTCTCCACCCCAGTGCTTTTCTTTTCATTGTTTTATTTTCAATCAAAATTCATGAGATTATGAACCATGCTAGAGCTAAGCCTGGGTTTTTTTCTAGGATATTTAGCTGGTTTTGTTGTGAAAGATCCCCAAACCATGAACTCAGAGAGATTTGCTTTTCTTATAAAATACTCAGTATTCTTATTGCACTCTATCAGTCAATGATCACCATAACAGCCACTCCAAAAGTTAGTGGCATACCAAAATGCAATCATCACTTTCATGATTTGCAGGCTGGTTGCATGGCTCTTCTCCACATGTACCTCATTCTTCTGGGGCAACTGGGCTACCCAGGTCATGTTCTTTTTAGGAAGCTGCAGAAGTTTATGAGGGCCAGCCCAACCATGCAAGCTCATTTCATGTCTGCTCCATGCTGTCTGCTAATATGTCATGGCTCAAAGTGTGTCACAGGGCAAGCCCACCCTCAATGCAGCAAGGTAATACAGCCTGTCTCTCATGGGAGGACATGAAGATGGCAAAAGGTGTGGTGGTTACGGAGATGGGAGAAGAATTAAAAGTCTAACATAGGCTCTGTAATCTTTTCAGGGCTTAATATTTGTGTTTACATTATACCTTGTCATTAATTTGTATATATGAGGCCTGTCCAGAAACTATCCAGCCAGGCAATGTGAAAAATAGAGACATTTATTGAAGAAGATACAAGATACAGGAAACATTGTACATAGGACAATTATGCCTCAGTCCCCTTCAAAGTAGGCACCTTGGGACCTTACACAGTTCTCCCAGTCACTATCAGCTGCCCCATTGTATTTTTCTGAACCTCATTGATGGTATGAAATCTCTTCCCTTTCAAAGGTGATTTTAGTTTTGGGAAAAGCCAGAAGTTTCTGGGCACCAAATCTGGGCCGGAGCGGGGCTGAGTCAGCTGGGTGTTTTGTTTTGCCAAAAACTCTGCACGAGACATAATGCATGAGTGGGTGGGTGCTTTGTCGTGATGAAGTTGCCAATCACCAGGTGCCCATAGCTGTGGCCTTCTGAGTCATCTGAATAGTTTCCACAGAGGAATGTTCAAGCTTATGCAAAATTTCGTGCAGCTTCATTGCTCTACTGGCTCAGTCATTTAGAATGTGATAGCCACACAGTGAACGTGCTCAACTCACCAGAGTCTATCACTGCCACTGATGAGTACAGTGAAGTTGTCATTGTTCACACATGCACGTTCCAGTAGACTTTCCATGGCTGCTAGGTTACATTGATGTAGTACAAACAATTCTATTATATTAACAATGACTGGATTTTTTCCAGACAGACTTCATGTACTATTTTGAATTCCATCACTTCAGCCTAATATGATTTTGTAATACATTGTATTTTCTTACTCAGACTGTACTTCTAGGTCCATCTGTATCAAAATCATTTGAGATGCTTATTAACAAAATCTCTAGGGGGTAGGGTCTGATAATTTTTATTATTAAAAACTCATCAGCTCATTCTTATGCACATTGAAGTTTAGAACCTCTTCTTTAGTGGAAGGACATTTGCGGTTTCTATTTTTCCAGCATTATGTATAAGTGCTAGCAACATTTGTACGAATGACTAATTTTGGGGAGTTATTCAACAGTCTTTCCCTGACTGAAGATTGAGTAATTTGCAATTGAGGAAAATAATATTTGGTGCAAATAATGGAGTTTGGAGTGCTGGTGATGGTGAGATTACAAACCGGGTTTAATATCTTTTAAGTATTTTATTATTACTAAAATAAAACATTGAACTAGATATGGAGAATTTCTGTAATATTTTCATACATCTTTAATTTGGAATGTTGGATATTGATATCATGGTTTCATTGCTAGTTATTGGCAGTTTTTTGAATGAAAGTGAAAAAGTTAACAGATTTAAAGAGAATTTTATTTTTCTTATATTTCAGCTTTGTAAATCTGGCATTTTGATTCTTCAGTAATTTTGATTCTTCATGACATTCTAACCCTAACATTGTTTGTGTACTTTATTGTATATGTATTGTTCGATAATCTTGGTTCTCTCGGTTCTTTCAAGTTTTATGGACAAGAAAATTAATCGACGGCATGGCAGATCTATATATGGCAGATACAATATACATTCTTTTTTTTTTTGCTTATAAACAGAGCCCTATTTTATTTTTAGAGCAGATTTTTGCCTAGCTGAAAAAGTACGTCTCCTAACCTCTTTTACAACTATGATTGGCCATGTGACTTTGTTTTGCTCAGTGAGACTTTAAGTGGAAGTTATTTGAATAAATGGGGTTGTTAAAGAAGGCAGAATAATTTCTCAGACACCTATTGTCCTTTGTTCTTTCCTTCATATTATCTAAAACTTGGACAGGATGCTGGAGGAGGTGACATGGAGTGACTGGTGTTTGATGACTGTCATGTGTAAGAATGTTTCGTGGGGAGACAGGAGGATTCTAGATCTTCGATATCATATGGGATGTCCTTATCAGATCTGCACTGCTCACCTCCAGCCTACTTCTGTTAGGGAGAAAAGGCATTGTAGTCCGGTGAAGCTACTCTTTGTCCAGACTCTGTTGCATGTAGCTGAATATAATTTCTAGCATTTACAGGTGGTTTCTATAACAGACTTTTAGACTAGGGTATCTCAAATTAGACTTTAAAATTGCTTTGAGTCCTGGCTGGTGTAGCTCAGTGGACTGAGCGCAGGCTGGGAACCAAAGTGTCCCAGGTTCGATTCCCAGCCAGGGTACATTCCTGGGTTGCAGGCCATAACCCCCAGCAACCGCACATTGATGTTCCTCTCTCTCACTCTCTCTCTCCCCCTCCCTCCCTTCCCTTTCTAAAAATAAATAAATAAAATCTTTAAAAAAATTGCTTTGATCTTTTAATTTTGAAATTTGTTTAGGACTCTTCCTCTGAATATATGCACATTATGCATATTTAAATGATCAAATATGTTTTGAAATGCATATTTTGTAATTCTGACATCAATAAATATGCATGCAGAAACTTTTAAAACTTTTGAAGTAATTTTAAATTTAAAATTGCAAAATTACTATAAAGACCTTTCATAACATTTCTTTCTGAACCATTTGAGAGTAAGTCACATGCCCCTTTACCACTTAAATACTTCAGGGTGTATTTAGGATAGTACAGTTATCAAGCTCAGGAATTTAATATTAATACAATATTGTTATTAAGCTGCCCATATTCATACTTCTCCAATTGTTCCAATAATACCCTGAATGCTTTAATATGAGAAGCAGTCTGGTCTCTCACAGGACTTTTGCTTGCCATGCCTTTTTGGTCCCCTTTAATCTGGAGCCTCATCCTTTGTCTTTCATGATACAGACATTTTGAAGATAGAGGTGCCGCAGTTTGGATTTGTCTGATGCTTCCTCAAGGTCAGATTCAATTTGTGCATTTTTTGGCAGGAATACCACAGATGATTGTCTTTTCAGTGTATCATATTATATATCAGGAGGCACACACTATTATGTTAACCCATTACTGGTAATGTTAACTGTGATCACTTGGCAGAGGGGTCTCCATCAGGTTTCTCCTTTATAGTTACTCTTTCTCCCTTTATAATTCCTAGGAAGAGAGCTTGAAACAGTGTGATTATCCTGTTTCTCATTAAACTTTCACCCAGCAGTTTTAGCTTCCACTGCTGATTCTTGACTGAATTATTACTGAGATTAATGTAAACCATTTTCAAGAAAGATTTCATCAGATTCTTTAATCTAGTGATGCCTTGTTTTTCATATCATATCCATTGAGCTGACTTTATTTCATGGTGCTGTCTTGGGAACTTCTTTTAAGGAGTGTAGAGGTGTAGGGAGGAACGTGGCTCTTAATTGGGCTAGTTTAGGGAAGGATTTGATTGTGAGAGCCTATCCACCCACCACTTTTTCTCTCCAATAAAGTATAATTACTATATACTTGTAGACCAACAGAGTTATAAACAGGTTCGAAGCAAATTTGGGCAAATGATCAATTCTATTTAGGATCTGTTATGACAGATTAGAGAATGAGGTGGTTCTCGTTTTACTCAAGTACATTTTATGATCCCCATGATGGTAATAAACCCACCTAGTGCATGGCCTGCCAAAAGCATGTCTTTTTCAAACATTCCAGGTGCTTGGATGCCAGCTGACTCAAGAGACAGGGAGAAATTACCAGAACTGCCTGATGTCAATCAGTAGTGCCATCCCCTATTGAACTAGCCCAAAGGATAGTTGTTGGGCTTAGTCATCATGCAAATCACTCCATTCTGTCATGGCAGACATAAGTGAGGCTGTGAGGAATAGGCCAGAAACCTAATTCAGTAAGGCTGCATTATTCTTGGGGGGTAATGTGAAAGTTCCCTTTTGGTGGAAACATGACAATGGAATAGGGCTCCCACAGCAAGGGTTCATGCTTCCTGAAAGAATGAAGTTTCTTTGTCTCTCTCAAGTTCTTTTTTACTCTAGTTTACTTTGCATTTTTGCCTCCCCAAAAAAGTCATTTATATTTTCAGATTTCAGCATGTAGTGATTTTGTTTTTTCCCCCTCCTCTAGCACCAGCAGACATTTTTGAATCAGCTGAGAGAAATTACTGGGATTAATGACACCCAGATACTACAGCAAGCCTTGAAGGTAAGAACCCTCATTTCTACTGCCTACCATATATGAAAGCTCAGCTTTTTAGTTATACCATGTTCTAGTAGTAGAGCTATAAGAAAGAACTTTTTATAAAGTAAGAGCCTTACTTAACATACTACAATTTTAAGCATGTTAGCTTGCAGCCACATAATGTTCCAAGGTATTATGGAGTGACAGATAAACTCTCTTCATAAGAAACACTTTCCATGCAGAATGAAGGGGTGTGAATCCCAGTGCTAACAGCTGGTTTTACTAAAGAGCCATGGGTTAGAGTTTAAATGGGGGTGGCAGGTGGGGTGGGGTGGAGAAACCAGAAGAGGCAGAGGAGGGGGATGAAGCAGAAAATTAGTAGAGGGTAAAAAGCTTACATATTTTTTCTTCCAAGAAAGAGAAATATAAATTGGCTTATTGTACCTTGTGAATATTCAACATCAGTCTGTTCAGTGTATGCAACAAATGAACTGTGTCATTTTGGTTGTATCTTACACAGTGTCTCCATTTTCACAGAGAGGCACCAGATGAGTCAGATCACAGGAATAAGTGCGCTAAAAAAGATCAAGTGCGTGAGAGATGTTTAAGAACCAAAATTGCATTTTAAACTTACAGCATTTGTGTCAATTAGGCCTGAACACTGCTTCAGTCCTTTGGAAATTACTCCACGAGGCAAAGTTAATTATGTAGCTTTTGATTTCTGAGCCCAAAGGTCTTCACTTATTTCTAGAAATAATTTATCTTTCAGATGAGCATAATCATAACCATAATGATAGTGATAATAACTAGCATGCTTTAGGCACCTACTGTACTAGGTGCTATTCTGTGTACTTTATGTGGCTAACACTTCCTAATAACTCTATGAGTTGGTATTATTTTCATCCCCTTTTAAAAGATAAGGGAACAGAGGTTACAGTGACTTGTTCGAGATCACACACTGGGATATGGAGGAGCTTAGAATAGAAGCCGAGCAGCCTGGTTCCAGGGTGCCACACTTAATTTCTGCTTTACCAGTAGCTTTGCTTTAGCTTTTTTCCCTCAGAAAAATGATGGAACAGTACTGTGCAGAGCATTATTAATATGCAGGTTTTATGAAGCCAGTGTAAGTATTTGGAGAGAAAGCTAAAGTGTCATACCTCAATTTTTATGATTCTGACATTTAGATGATTCCCAGTGTTTTCTTTATTCTGATAATATGACTTAATCACCCCATGTGTATTTTCAGAAAGCATCTTTCCCATTCTGTATGACTGAGTGTGAGTCTTACACCTATTACCTTGTCGGGGCAAATTTAGGAAATTTATTTATTTTTTTTAACTTGGGAAACAAAATATGCTTAATTAAATAAGAATGAAGAATTAAATTAATTCTTGTTCACATTTGCTTTGAGGTAAGTTATGTAACCATAGTTATTCTTTTTAACTTTAGTTTCAGGTACCAGTGGCAGGGAAGGGGTGTGGGAAAACAGTATGCTTAAACCTTAACTGTTGCCCACTACAAATTTGTATGATGTGTAATAATGACTTGACTCAGTTATACTGACAAGTACATACCTTTCGGAAGCCACAGTGTATTCATTTCAGCACTTTCCTTTAATTTTGAGTATCTGTTTTAGCCCTCCAAAGTTAGTGACCATCAGGTTGTGTAAATCCTGGGTGCACTCAGTTTGTTATTGTACTGGGTAGTGAATGAAAAGCACTTAGCACATTTATTGGCATGTAGTAAGTACTCAATAAATGTCAGCCATTATTATTGCAAATTATTTTACAGCTAGTTTACTTATCTAACTATAGAATATGTTATTATACCATATTTTGGATGAATCATTCATTTAAGAATCTTATAATAATTGTGATAAATAACAAACTTTAAAACAGGGGTGCTTTTCAAACTGCACTGTGACTTTTTTCTCTCCTCACTAGCTACTAGAATTGGTGGTGGAGTGGGTTGGGGATTTCATTCTTCCATTGCTCAGGCCTTATATCTTGGAATCATCCGAATCTTTCTATTTCTGTCATTCCCCATATTTAATATGATAGCAAATGATACTGGGCTCTGCTGCTACCCTTTCTGTCCCATAATCTCTTCTCAAAACAGCCAGAGCAGTCTGTTTAAAATGGAAGCCACACCATGTCATTTCTGTCCAGTACTCTCCCCTGGCTTTCTGTTATACTTCGCACGTATGGCCAAGTTCCTAAGGCCTACACAGCTTTATGTGTTCTGGCACTGTGTTACAAAGATAACTTCATTATTAATATCTGTATTTCTTGATGTCGTTTGAATGAGCTATCATAGAGTTGGTGGTATATTTATTGATAAGTGTACAGAGAATATAGAGCTGTAACTGGACAAATCATTATTTTTTTGTTTTAGAAATTCTTAGTTTCCTAGCATCTGCTTTCTTCTAAACTAATGCTAGAATAAAGTTGTGTCCAGGTATGATTTTGTGTCCAGGAAAATTTATATAGTGTTTATTATTTGGGTAGGGTTGTCCTTTTGTCAGTACTGAGCATTTTGTCTAGGAATTCTGCGTGTCTCTTATACTACTATCAAGCTTCAGAATATTTTGCTGTTTTCTTTTGACAAGCCTTTCACATTTACTTGTTAAGTTTGCCTGTAGGTGTGTATTCAGCATCCATATTAAAGGGAATATCTTTTAACGCCCTTGTTTGCAGAAGTACTGTTATATAAATATTCATTTTTTACCCCTTTATATGGCAAGCTCCAGAAAACATTTAAGTTTTTTTATTGGTTTAAAAGTATGTCTGTGATTGCCTTTTGTTAAGCAGATATGAGAGTAATGGAAAATCACTAAGTAATTAGTTATAGAAGTGATTTTTACATTATGTTAGTAGTTTTAATTAATACAAACAGGAATTACATTGATGTAGTGTACTTTGCTTACAATGAATTTACAGTACAAAATTAGAATCTTAGCACTGATTTCAAATCAAATTTATTTTTGCTATTAAGTATTAGTTGTGTAGAAAATTACAAAAATCATGTGAAGATGTATAGAAATATTTCAAAATATTTGATGTTCTGTTCTTGATATTTGAAGGACAGTAATGGAAACTTGGAGCTGGCAGTGGCATTCCTCACCGCAAAGAACGCCAAGACCCCTCAGCAGGAAGAGACAACTTACTACCAGACTGCGCTTCCCGGCAATGACAGATACATCAGCGTGGGAAGCCAGGCAGACACAAGTGAGTTCTCTTTCTCTTTCTTAATATTTTATGAAGAGTGTAATGAAAATTTCCTTGGAAATATATATATATATATTTGCATAAGCAGAGGTAAAGGACAATAAAAGAGCTACTTTAAACTTGGTTCTTTTTAGTGTACTTGAAAGGAGCAAATGTTTTTATTAGCAGCATTATATATATTTTTTCCAGTTGAAGAGTAAAAGATTGTATCTAAGTTACAGAGCATTTCTAAGTCATAGAGCATTTCACATAGTATTTGTTGTTTTGAAATAGGGAACAGCTACAGGTGTTACCAAACAAACTTTTCTAGAATTTTAAATGGGGACAGTCATTTCTTTTATGGATTATAAGTGTTCTTAGAGGCCTTAGGATTATTTTTGAAGATAAAATATTATTTCTAATTACTGATAGGTTTACCATTTAATGGAATTTCCTTTCCCTCAAACCCTTCCCCTTTCCAAAATAAACAGTTTGGAAAAAGATTTATTACCATGTAACAAAATTAATGAACACACACAGACACATGTACACATACATACATAGGGGAAATTTTACATGGGATTCTAACTTTTCTTCATGGTATGACTACTTTATGCTTGTATAGCTGTCAGTTTTCAAAAATGTGTTCAGTTACCTCCATATATTATTATGGTATAATAACTGCACTCTGTAAAATGTAGGTATTTATTTTTGTTCATTCTGGATTTGAGAAGTTTGATTACTAACTTGTATTTGGTGTTTGAAGAGAATTTCTGATTTTGTTTATAGACTTCCATAAAGTTTAGAAAGCAACCAGGAAGAACCTTTCCACATAGATGTTTGTAGCTATCGATCATCTTTGAACACTGCTTAGTGCTTGTTAATAGGATATTTTCGTTTCAAATTTTCAGGGTAATCTTTATATTATTCCTGCGCAAATGATCTTAGGTTAGCCAAAGCTAGAATACTCCTATCTTACACAGAAAATGGGTCATGGGAGAAGTTTTATACTTAAGGCAGACCTTGCTTATGTCCAAGTTCAAGACAAACTATAGTCTGGCCTCTGTCTATATCTCTAACTTCATTTTCTACTGTTTTTCTCTCACTTTACACTGTGATAATACAGAAAATGGCTTGATGTTCTCATACACCCAGTGCTATTTAACGTCTTTTGTCTTTACATGTGCTGTTCCTTCTGTCTCGAATCCCCTCTAGCCTTTACCTCCAGTCTACTTTCTTCTGGAATGTTTCCCTGGGCCTCTAGGTTGGACCAAGTGCTTCTCTAGTACCCAGAGCATACTTTATTCTTAAGAGTACTGTGTTGTTTTCAAATTATTTGCTTGTGCCTTCCAGGCTTGCTCACCAAACTGGAAGCTTAACAAGGCAAGAGACCATTGATGTCCCCACCACCATACTAGAATGTCATAGTCTCTCAAAAATGTTGGAATTATTTTTGTATGTGTAAAAAAGCTGTTTCAAAATTGATGAAAGGGAATGAGCTTGTTGCAAGATAAAAGAAATGATTTTTTAAAGAGAAGTGTATAAATAGAGGAGGAATTAGTATGTGAGAATAACATATCTTTCAAGGTCCTGAGACTTGGGGGGGAAACATAATTAGATAAAAAAAGGAAAAATAGAATTATGTTGATTGAAGGCAGCTGCTGAAAGTTAAGGAAACAGTCATGTTTCAGTGTTACAGCAGAAAGGATGAACAGATTTTAGAATGAGAGTTGGGAATTCTAATATAGTTAGTAGACTTTGTGATACGAGATAGCATGTATAGGTATTCAGGGGAATTGGGATTATAAGATTTATAAACAAAAGAAAATGTCTTACTTGCTGTGAGAAAGTGAGCAAATATTGCTTAAGCCAGATGTTAACACCTGTTCAAGATTTTTGCCAAAGGAATAGCGAAAATGCTGCAGATAAAAAGATTTGAATAGGCACACTGAAGGAAGAGGTAACCTGATTTCAGAAGGCATGTGTCCCGTTTGGTCATGATTAAATTTTTTCTGCATGTGTGTAGCTCTTGAAAAATATCCACTAAGTAATTTTATATTCCACTTGAAAGAAATGGTAGAAAAATAGTTTCTGGTTTCACCTCAACTGATTGACTGATGTATTGAGCAAATTGCTTACTCTTATGGTTTCTTTATTGATAAAATGTCCTGTTTTTCTAACCACATGCTAATTCATATTTAGTAATTCAGTAATTTGGATAGTGCGTCCATAAAGTTGGTTTAAGATTATTGAGAAAAAAACTTGTTCAGATATAATGTAGTGCTTGTATTATTAATAGCATCAAACTGGGAAAAATAGCTGGTAAGATAACAATAATTCTTTTCAATTTAACAGATTTGTACCATATTTTATAAAGTTTTAAGAGCTATAGCTGCCTTTAAGAAGTAGCCCTGATTCAACATTTAAATTTTGTAGTGTCATAATGTTACATGGTTTAAAACTAAGAAACAAAGGAGATGTCATGCATTTAGCAGGTTCTTTAAATTACTATGTTATTATTGCAAAGAATCAAAATCTTTGTTGTGTTTTTAATTCTGGGGAAGAGTGGCAATACATGTGGGTAGGAAAGAGAAATAATTATAAATGAAAATGTGTTCAAGTGCAAGCCTTTACTGAAAAACCTGCATTAAATGCTGAAGGAACATGTAGTATTGGAGTGATGAAAGTGTTAGGAAGTTTTCATGGGATTATTTTAGGTATAAAAACCCTTTTTGAGCATTTTCTTAATTGTATGTGAAATACATTGTTATTTGAAAGTTGACCATAGTTTAACTTACTTCACTTACTTCTTTCAAATATGGCAAGAGTTTGTTTTTTTTTTTAATTCATTTTTTTCAGTATATGTCTGTTGCAAACAGGGCTAAATTATAAAAAAAGCTTTGCAGCTTTAAATGTGTCATCTATAACAATGTGGACAAAGTATATCTATACTTTGAAATAAAATCTCTAATGCAAAATACATATGATTCTTTGTTGATATAAGCCAGAATATAACTTTATAACTATGAGTCTCTATTACAAGAAATAAAACACAATTTTATTAGTGACTACAAAAAATTAGCTTTTTAACTAATATCCCATAGAAGTGATGTTTGGGGCTCGTTGGGAAATTTTCATTTATGCATACCCAGGTACACCAGAAGATAAAGTAAATTGTTCCATTTGATTTGAAGAACACGTATTTGTGAACCTGCCATTAATACTGAAGAAGTAATTACATTTTCAGTAGTTAGTAGGACAATGATTGGCCTTTTCAAATGCATTTTTACCTTTTATTTTTGAGAGAAGAAGGAAACATTTCAAAGAAAGCTTATTATCTGCATATCAAAGAATTAAGAAGTGGTGTACCTATTGATAGTATAATTTAATACTCTGTTGAATTTTGGGGAAATGCCTAAATCATTTGTAGTGTTATTAGCAAAAACTTTAGACAACTTTTTTTGTTGCTTGGGTCTCCTGTCCAGATTGGATGTTGTGGTTTTCAGATTAGTGCCTCTCACCTCCAGCTTAATTTTTAAACAAAATCATGTTGGAATTTTGCTGTAAAAAATACTAATGCAATGGGGTCAGGGGAACAATGCAAGATATTGAGATATCATAGGTGTACTTAATAGTCAGAGGAGAGATTCTGTGAAGCTTTTGTGTCGTGACAAACTCTGTCATAAACAGGACCATACATGGCTATTACCAATTTGAAATCAAATAGTTACATTCTTTCTTTCATGACCATTAAATTCTTTTGAACTTTTTTAAAACAGGAAAAAAACAGTATATGCCTACGAGAACGAGATGTACCACAATTGAGCAATCAAAGTATGGATCAAAAGATAAGAGAGATTTAGGTAGGTAATTTTAACACAGAAAGTAATGCCACCTACTGGCTTTAGTTGCAGAGAACTTGGTGTAACACATTGGAATAAGTGTTAAGTGGTCGATCCTTCACCAATTTAGCATCATCGTATTCCCCCACCCCACCCCAAGGAACTAGAATACTTTGTAAGGATTGCCTAGAATGTGAGAAAAATATTGAGGTTATATCCGAGACCTCTGGTTTCCGGCCTAAAGTGATTTAAAGTACAAGTGATAAATAGATTCGAGCCTAGTACTGTCATTTCTGCTGAGGCTAAATCCCTTATGTTAAATTAGTATAGGCTTTTATTAACTGAACACTGATATTTTTTCCCATTCCCCAGATTTTTTAAATAACTGCAGATAGAAAAAAATGTAGTAGAAGTTAAATTTCTTTTTCCATCAGGATTTCTGATACATAAAACTATTTTGGAGATTCACCAAAAATCTGAGTTAATCTTAGAAATAAGATGCTACAATGGTGTGCAGTTCCTGGTAACTGATCACATGTAATTAGGTTTGCATTCCATTAGACAGGCACTGTCAAGGGACTTGCATAACTTCATGAATTGTCTCTAATTTTAGGGCAGAATGATAGTCATGGCAGAATGATAGCAGTTTTTGTTGACTAATATAGAATGTTAACTAAATTGCCTTCACAATCCACGTTGAAAAACAGTAAAATTGATGACAAAACTCAGGAATGGCTCATTTCCTATTTATTTTCCTAATTGATGCTACCATTATAATTTTACCAGCTATTATTAGAAACAGAACAATACTATTTAGAGCTGAGTTGTTCGGCATAGTTATCAGTAATTACCTGTGGCACCCTGACTAGTATGGCTCACTTGGTTGGGTGTTGTCCTGCAAACTGAAAGGTCACAGGTTCAATTCCCAGTCAAGGTCACATGCCTGGGTTGCTGGCACAGTCCGTGGACAGGGAGTGTACAAGAGGCAACTGATGGTTGTTTCCCTCTCTCATGCTGATGTTTCTTGCCCTCTCTCTCTCCTTCCCTTCCCCTGCCCCATAAAATAAATAAAATCTTTAAAAAAAATAGTCCCATGTGGCAACTTAAATTTAAATATAAATTAAAATTAAATAATATTAAAATGCAGTCTCTTTATTTCACCAGACACATTTCAAATGTGCAGTATTAGTCACATGTGACTAGTGGCTACTATATTGGACAGATAATAGTGCAGATAATAGTTCATTTCCATTACCATAGAAAGTTACACTGGACATCACTGTTTTAGAGATGGGATGAGTTCAGCAGTGGGAAGATTGGAAAAGGAGGAATATCTTAAGAGAGCTGACTGAGGGCAGAGGAAAATGGGAGAGTGGAGTGTAAAACAGTTATATTGCTTATATTATCCTCTTTTAAGTATTCTCTTAACATATACTTTATTATGCTATTTATCCTTTCACTTACTAGAAAAATTTTAGATAGAGTATATGTTCTGAAGTCTTCTAATTAATTCTATGAAGATGCCTTACTAATTTTTATCTCTATTCTATAGTTTCTAGATATTTTTATCTAATTAACCAATATTTGTTGATTGACTAATATGTATCAGGCACTTTACTTTTTTAGGCCATTGAAAAAACACAGAGTCTCCATATATATAGGGGACAACAGACAGTAAATAGTAAATAAATAATGACAGGTAGTAGTATTCTATGGAGAACCTTAGAACAGGGTAAAGGGACAGAGTGTGACTGAGATACAGTTGCAGGTCAGGCACGGGATGTGGTATTTTAGATGCAGAGCCAGTCAGAAATGTCTCTTGGATGAAGTCACATTTTATAGATACTCCTAAATGAAGTGCGAGAGTGAACTTCATGGATGTCTGAGGGAAGTGTATCTCAGGCTAGGGCCTCAAGGCAAGAGTGGATTTGACTCAGAAGATGAATTGTGAGGACACAACCATGGCTGAAGCAGAGGGAGTGAGGGTGAAAATGGTCACGTACTAAGTTCCAGCCTCCTGCTCACCATCCCTGGGCTCACATTGGCCTTTCTGAGGGCACTCCCATCCTTCTGGTGGCTCAGTGTTTTTGTATGTTTGTTTGTTTTTGTTTTTTCTTTTTTTATAGCTCTTCCTAATTTTCCAAAACAACCAGTTAATTTGCAGTTGTATCAGCTTTTGTGTGTATATATATATATTTTTTTTCTTTCAGTTGCTTCTGCCCTGGTACATATTCTTATTACAATTCTTTTCAAACTCTTGTTCAACACCTTAACTCCTAACTCCCAATACAGAGTTCTTTCTACCAATATTGCTCCCCTGCCTAGAAGTTTTTGCTGGTGGTAAATATAAACTTGGCTTATTAAAAAACAAAAAGTATTTCTCCCAAGTTTAGTACTACATAAATAAAGAAAACAATGGAAAAACTTACTTTTCTGAAATCAAAATCTTTATTCATTTTAGTTCAACTAGATTGTGGGCTAAATTAGCTTTTGTCAACTAGTGTAGATGCCTCATTGTCATTGAACATGTTATTTTCATGGGGAATGAATTATGAGTTTAACAATTGCATACATTTAAAGTCTAATTTATTGGTAAATTGATGGCTGCTTATTTTGGGAGTTAGCAGAGAAGTGTTTGGTAGTTAGTTTACTCAAATGGTAATTCTTTGGAAAGTAAAAGATTTATTAGGGTGAATGTTATATTTTGGTATATATATTTCTGACTTGATGGAAAAAACTTTTTAATTTGGGCAGACGAAAATGTTGGAGATTACTGCTCATAGGCTTTTGTAATATGCGATTTTCTAGTGTTACTCAACTAACACTAACATGCTTATGCACTTGATTGGGTTCACACCAATATTGGGTCAGCCAAAAGGTTTGTATTTTTCGTAAGATGGCTCTAGTTTCTTTAACTTCATTTGAAACAGTTGTATTGTATTGTATTGTGACAGTTGTCATATGCATTTAAAAATCTATCAAAATTGCCCTGGCTGATGTAGCTCAGTGGACTGACCATGGGCCTGCAAACCAGAGAGTCACTGGTCTGATTCCCAGTCAGGACACATCCCTGGGTTGCGGGCCAGGTACCCAGTAGGGGGTGCTCCAGAGACAACCACACATTGATGTTTCTCTCCCCTCTTTCTCCTTCCCTTCCCTTCTTTCTAAAAATAAATAAATAAAACCTTTAAAAATAAAAAAATCAAAATGGTGGATTTTTATGTAGCCACTTTAATATTGAAGATGGAAAAAAAATATGCAGCATTTCCAGCATATTATGCTTCATTACTTCAAGAAAGGTAAAAACACAACTGAAACACAAAAAAAGATTTGGCAACATATAGAGAAGGAGTTGTGACTGACCGAACATGTCAAAAGTGGTTTGCGAAGTTTCATGCTGAAGATTTCTGTCTGGACAATGCCCACGGTCGGGTAGACCAGCTGAAGTTGATAGCGATCAAATCAAGACATTGAATAAGGTCAACTTACCACATGGGAGATAGTGAGATACTCAGAATATCCAAACCCATAAAATTGTTGGTAAAAATGAAAAATGTGTCTTATTTTATGGAAAAAAACATATGGACTGTTTGGCCAACCCAATACTAGAGGGAGGGGTAGTTAAAACAAAGTTTAGTGTCTTCCCTTGGCACAGATATAAAAATATTCGTAATACTTTGATATTTGGATAGAACTGTTACAAAGGCTAAATTTTTGTAATTGACTTTTGCCCATTAGAAATTGTTTATAGCCATGCTTATGCTCTGTCCTGTTTTGTGTGTAAGCTGGGTAAGCATATAAGTAAATCGTAGAGGGCTAGTTTTAATTGTGAAATTGATAGTTCATTAGGTATTTTATGGAAATCATCCTACAGTGCCAGGAACAGAAGAAATTTAGGTTTAACTATTTATTGAAAGAACATCTTTTTATTTTTTAAAACATTATTTTATTGTGCCCTGGCTGGCGTAGCTCAGTGGATTGAGCACGGGCTGCGAACCAAAGTGTTGCAGGTTCGATTCCCAGTCAGGCCACATACCTGGGTTGCAGGCCACAGCCCCCAGCAACCGCACATTGATGTTTCTCTCTCTCTCTCTCCTTCCCTTCCCTCTCTAAAAATAAATAAATAAAATCTTTGAAAAAAAAAATTACTTTATTGTTGTTCAATTAAAGTTGTCTGCATTTTATCCCCACCACTCCCCACCACACCAGCCAAACCCACCTCCCTCCCTTGCTTGCACTCTCCCCCTTGGTTTTGTCCATGTGTCCTTTATAGTAGTTCCTGAAAACCCTTCTCCCATTGTCCCCTCCCACTTCCCCTCTGGCTGCTGTTAGATTGTTCTTACTTTCAGTGTCTCTGGTTATATTTTGCTTGCTTTTTTCTTTTGTTGATTAAGAATGTTTTTTCTTAATATTGGTCTTACATGTATTTGGTGTATGAGTAGGTTATAATAGTCTTCTTTCAGGATTGCCATATCGTTCTAAAATATCCTATTGAAAGAAGCTTTATTATGTAATGGGAATAATGGGAATATAATGAAGAAAATTGTAGTTACATTAAAGCTACAGGCAGATAATAAATAAACCTTCTTCATTGCTTAAAGGAAGGAAGTCCCAGCTTTTCAGTTGAAGAGCAGTAGTTTCTGGTCAACTAACCTTTTTGCATTAACTATTACTATTGCTTGTTTCTTTCTCTGCTCAGACTCAAACTTCTGACGCTAGGTGTGTGAGTTTTTCCCCCACAACCAACCAGTGCACCAGCAGTAGCTGGGTGTCCTACAGTTTAATTCACTTCTGAAACTATTTCCAGGTTAAGGGCCCAGTCCCATAAGACTGCCACCACTTTGGAAGCCATTCACAAGTATTGAGTCTCAACTTACCCACGCGTTGTCTGACTTGGCTACAAATTGAGGGTTCTCACAACCCCCTCCTCAAGTTTGATAATTTGCTATCATGGCTCACAAAACTCAGGGAAACACATATATTTACTGGTTTGTTATATAACAAAGGATATGATAAAGGATACAGATGAACAGCCAGGTGAAGAGTTCTGTGAAGCAAGGTCTGGAAGGGTCCCAAGCACAGGAGCTTCTGGCATGAAGAGATGGGGAGGACCATCCTGCCAGCATAGCATGTGGATATGTTGACCAACCAAGAAGATCTCCAAACTCTGTAGTTTAGTTATTTTTCTGGAGGCTTCATCAGAGAGAGGAAGGATTGATTATTAACTTAATCTTAGGCCTTCCCTCTTCCCTGGAGAGGAGGAGGTGGGGCTCAAAGTTATAAGCTTTGCACCATGGCTTGGTCTTTCTGGAAACCCGTGTCCATTCTGAAGCTACTCAGGAGTCCGCCAAGAGTCAGCTTACTAGAACAAAAGATGCTTCTATCACTCAGGAAATTTCAGGTGTTTTAGGAGCTCTGCATCAGGAACCAAGGTCAAAAACCAAATGTTAAAAATTGCATCTTTATCACTTACTTTGCTCTTTGCATGATTTTAATAGCACCATCTATTGGTAATTTTGAATATATTTCCTTTCAAAGTTTGGAAGAATCTGTACATTATAAAACAAATTGAAATTTTTAGCATCATTTGATTTCATCAGAAAAGCTGTTAAGTACTGGGAAGATATTAAGTTCACAATGGTGGAAAAGTTTAACAAAGGTCCAACTTTTGCTTAAAATTTTCATATTAATCATTGGCAACAAATACTCTTATTTGTTTTCTTCCAAGTGACAGGTCACTTTGTTTACTTTTGAGAAAATGCTTTCCAAATACTGAAGTCTGACTACTCATAGTTTGTAGTGTGCTGATGTTTTTTTAAGTAAAAATAGTGTTCCATGAAAAAATCAGCTGGTTGAGCCTGCAGCTGAAATATTGCACTAATGTCTGCTCTAGAGCAGCAGCCTGTTTTGATACACAGCCAAAGTACTTCCCATTTTGTGAGAGTATTAAAGAACATGAAAGTCAGTGTTCCATATTTAATAAATTTTTCTCCTTTTTATCAAGGAAGTAAGAGAAACTAGACCTTTTTTAAAAAAATAGTGTGTGTGTGTAGTTGTGAGGAGTACAATGAATTGTGCACACAGCTTGGTTCTGCTGCTCTGATTTGTTCTAAGTAGCAGCAGTTTTTAAAGCAGTGTTGTTCTGCATTGTCAGTGCAGACGTGAGCACAGCAGAAGAGGCAAGTAGCATGTTAGTAATACCGTGAGAATATTTTTTCCTTAGGGTTTTCCCTTTTCTCATAGGGTTATGGGGATCCCCAAGGACCCGTGGACCACACTTGGAGAACTGCCAGTATGCAGAAAAGACCACTTGATTTAATAGTTAGAAGACTTAAATTGAAACCTGTCCACATTCTTTATTTTTATGTTATACTTCATTTTCACAACTTCAGTTGTCTCATTTATGAAACAGGGTTAAAAAACATCTTACCTTGCTATTTTCTTTTTTGTTGCTTGAGTTACAATTGATAAATTATGAAAAGCTCTGAGAATGATTGTTGCTATTCTTATGTAATTTTCTGCTCCAGCCACTTGGGTTTACTTGCCAGCCATGAAATGGTAAACACTCATGATTGTTTCAAAGAAATTTAGTGGGGGTTTGCGGTCTTCAGAAGTCAGTGCAGGTACTGTTGTTCAGCCTTCTGAAAGGACTCCCAGGTTCTTGCTGGATTGGCCAGCCAGACGAGCTACTACTCCCTCTGCTGCCACAGTTACGCTGGGCGTGAATCAGGCTGTGTCTGGGACCACTGAGTTCAGGAACATGCCTCTGCTGCTGTAGCCCAGGGAGCAGGCTGCCAGGATTAGGGCACAGCCATTGAGCTGTGTCTGGATGTTGGCATGCAGAGCCCAGTTGCCACTTCTCTATCTCTTGACATCCCTTATACTGGAAACTGGACAATGGAACAACCCGCATCTCTTCAGTCGTATTGGAGAAAACAGCCAAAAGCAGGATAATGGTTTCCCCTCACTTCTGCCTTCCAAATCTCACATTAGTGTATCCAGGTGGTAGACTTAAATTTTACCCAGAACTTCAACCACAAGTGAATTGGGAAAATAGGTTTATTTGTTTTAATATTTACAGCTTCTGTAGTTGAAGAGCGCATACTAGGAGGATGAGAGAATGGAGTCTGAGGGTTAATTGATTGTATCTGCCAAACTGGTTTTTCTGCCTCTTTGTGCTTTGCAAATTGTTTCCTTTACTTCCATTATTCTTTCTGCACTCACCCGTTATAATCATTACTTAATGATTCATTTTTATAGGCCATTTTATGCCTCTCTCGTCCTACCTTTCTCTTTATCAGTATTCATACAGATTCCTACTGGACTGGATGAATGCATTTGCAGCTGCATTCTAGCTGGACTTGTATTTTGTGAGCCAGGCTTAGGAAACCTTTGGATGGTTGGTGAACATAGGCATGCTTCACCATTTCAGTTACCTTTGATATATTAACTTTGCTCCACATTTTATTTGATGGAATTTTTTTGGATCCTACTTAACTACATTTTTGTGAGATTTACTATGCTAAGGACATTTTAAAAAACACCTTCCATAGATAACTGTTACTTCTAATATTTTTAATATTCTTATAAGCTACTGTTTGGAAGGAAAAAGTGTGGATAACAATAGAAGTGGGCTTTTGAAACTGTCAATATACATTATTTCCTACTCATTAAATGTGGGATATTCTTTTCTAGTACCTGTATAAAACCCTTTAGCCAGATGGTAAAATGCAAGTGCCTTATTTCCAATGCCCTATCCCATTTTATTTGTCTCTTGTAAAATTCCAAGATTACACAGAAAAATTAATATTTAACGTGTCTCAAATACAATAAACAATGAGTGCAGAACTTGTTCAAAATATCAATAAGCATAATCTCAGCCATGTAAAGATAAGGTAATAAAAGCTATAGTTTCTCAACATTCTCTTTTGTTAAACCCCTACTTTTCAACAATTATGATTCCTATCATTGTTTAAATGATAATGGGAATATTGTTGGCATCTTTTGGGTTAAGGAAATTGACCAGTTTACGTTGGCAAATTTGATTTTAAAAGTTTTTATAAAGTATAGTGATAATTATAGCCTTCATTTTTTAGATAAAGAATACTTATAGCACCAATACTGTATTGTTAGAAAAGAAAATAGTATCATTTATTTGTATATTTATTTTGGTGAAATGAAATCCTTTTGTCAAATTTAAAGGGCTGCCCTGGCCAGTGTGGCTCAGTTGGTTGGAGCCACACCTGTATACTGCCCTGTATACTGAAGGGTTGGGGGTTCAATTCCCGATCAGGGCACATGCCTAGCTTATGGATTTGGTCCCCAGTTGGGCTGCATGTGGGAGACAACCAATTGATGTTTCTCTCTCCCCCCTTTCCTCTCTCTCTAAAATCAGTAAACATATTTTAAAAAAATATTTAAAGGGCTGCAGGTTTATTAAATACTTCAGAGGGTACAGAAGTGCTTTTTGTAGAAAATGAAAGATTCTTACACTTTCTACTCCCTTAACCCTCCCTCCTCAAAATGAACCACTGGTTAACAATTTGGAACATATGTCCAGACTTTAAAAAAAATGTGTGTGTGTGTATGTGTGTGTGTCACACACACAGTCAGTTTCTGAAATGTAATTTTTGAGAGCTAAGCTATTAATTATACTATGACGGATAATATCTAGTTGGCCACATGGACAAACTGTAGTGTATGTTTGTGTTAACTTTGGAAAGCATGAATGTGAATGTTGATTTTGATTTGTGTTAGTAAAGAAACTTATTAGCTTTTAATCAGAGACTATAATAAATATTGAGATTCCTCTGCAATGAAAAATATTTATGCTGCTATTGTTTTAGGTATATTTTAGAGAAGATCATTAAGTTCTGAAGTATACCAGTTTATAATTGGTTTTCATTTCTTCAGAGAGGCTCTTAACACATAACTAAGTTGGTGCTAACTTTGGTTTGAAAGGGTATATTGGGTATAGAAATATCCATGATAAGAATTACCTTTCCTTTTGTTTGACTTTTAATTTTGAGTAAGATAGTTTTGCTTTTCAGATGTGATTGATCTCACTGGAGATGATAAAGATGATCTTCAGAGAGCAATTGCCTTGAGTTTGGCGGAATCAAACAGGGCATTCAGGGAGACTGGAATAACAGATGAGGAGCAAGCCATTAGCAGGTAAAAACATAATTTGTATAAATAGATATAAGTACTATCTATAATATAAATAGTAATTGGCTTTAATTTCAGCAGGCACAAAGATATACTTTGTTATTCTAAATAAATTATTAACATACTTCAGTATTGTTTTTATATTTTTCCTAACCAAAATATTCATATTCTAGTTCTAATTGCACTTGAAGCTTAGATTTTAGGATTTGAAATTGTAATATGGCTATACATTTAGGTGTATATTTTAATATTTCTTTGATTTTTCTCCTAACCCCTTTTTGTATACATTGTCCAATTTTACTTATAAAATTGTCATTTATAGCTGGAATCAGCCAAGGTTTTCTGTGAAGGGCCTATTGTACATGTTCTAGGCTTTGCTGGCCATATCGTTTCTGTTCCAGTGACCCCACTCTGATGCTGAAGTGCAAAAGCAGCCACTGATCACACATAATGAGTGCAGGTGTGTTCCAATAAATCTTGATTCACCAGAACAGGCTGCCACCTGGAGGTGGCTCATGGTCCATATTTTGCCAAACACTGATATATAGTATGATAGCATAAGGGTTTTTTTTAATTTTTTTCCTTTTGTAAAGAAATTGGCAAGATTCCAAGATGTGTGATGGAATGATAACATGTATTTTCTTATTTAATAATAGCCAATATTTTTAGTTTGAAACAGTTTGATCTACCAGAGCATTAAATAAGTAAATTTGATTTTATCACAAAATAATTCTAATGAAAAAAAACTTGTATAAATTATAAGTAACTATAATCTTCTGAACAACTCTTTGGAGGCATTGGTAACTCTTACTGAAGGAGCTATTTAACTTTTAAAAGGTTACATGATTTTCCAAAGGTTTACAGTGTAGATGGGTCTTACGACTCCAGAGTTATTTTTCCTGTAACACAGGTTGGTAACAGAAAATACCAGCTTTCTTATAATTTTCTTGGCACAACATCAGTGATAAACTTCTAAGTAATCTTAAATTAATGTATAGTAGGAGATATCTCAAAATGCTATGTTTACGCTATGCATGTAATTTTTCTTAGTAATACTTTTAACTGTCTTTAAGTGTTATTTTGGAAACTATCTGTGAGACTTACATTAAAATGGAAAGGCGTAATTAAAATTTATTAACCTCTTTAGTGTGGCTAATATCATTTAATGCCAGTATTTTTAAATGAAAACCAAAAATACATAGGCTCTCTTTACACATTTTAGGTAGGTTTATTTTGTGAAGGATTAGGGAAATTATAAAATTAGTTTTGTCTTAAAAAATAGATTGAGCCCTGGCTGTTGACTCAGTAGACTGAGTGCCAGCCTGTGAACCAAAGGGTTGCTGGTTTGATTCCCAATCATGGCACATGTCTGGGTTGTGGGTCAGATCCCCAGTCAGGGACCTCGAGAGGTGACCACACATTGATGTTTCTCTCTCTCTCATTCTCCCTCCCATTCCCTCTTGAAAAACAAATTAAAATCTTTTGAAAAAATAGATTGAAATGAAATAGTTGTCTTGAGCAATTATATAACTTGGCAGTACTTAAGCTTTGATAAGAAATGTTTTAAACACGAAATACATGCGATGGGTTTCATATTTAAGGGGAGTGAGGGTCTACTATGTGAAAAAGGTGTGAAATAGTATCAGCAGTTTCATGTCAGGTGTTTTCTAATTTTAAAATAGTGTGTACTAATTAGATAATAAAAAGTAAAAAGGATTTAAAAGATAGGGGATTAAGACTATTTCTAATCTATTATTAAACTCAACCTATGTATTATATATTGTTTTAGATACTCATTTTTGTCCAACAGAAAAAAAATTCTTAAGAGAATTCTTTTTCTTATTCTTGGTCTTTTCATTTTTAGTGTACTTTTAAAATAGTAAATATTTTATGAAAAGTTTTTATTGTAGATAACATTATAGAGGTTTTGGAATAGTATAATTTTACATAAATTTATATTCTGTAGAAATAAAAAGTGATTAATTTACTGTGGCAAATGCAATTGTTTTCATTGGTATGTGTAGATTTTCTAATTTACAATTTAAAATGTTAAATGCAAAGTGCATTAATAAACATGTATACATTTTATAATTTAAAAATGTTAAATGTAAAATGTGCACATAATAAGCATGTATATAAATCACATTGTATCAGAAAAAAGAATATGAGAATTCTAGCTAAACTTTTGGCAGAGTTATATTTGTTTCTATGCATTTTTATTAAGGGGAGGACTTAAATTCTAAAGGCAAAATGATGCATTTTAATGGAAAAATGTTAAATGCTATGCTTAAAAGTAAATTTAAGTGTTTGTTTTTTACCTAAGTTCAGTTGACAAATTTTGCCAAAGTAAATGGTAGAATCATTTGACTTGTAAGTTTCTATTTCATTAGACAAACTTTAATATGAGTTCACATATTTGGAACACTATATCATTGTGTATAATTAAATGAGATAAAGACTATCTTTTTACATATTACAATCCTGTGTTTAGGCACCCATAAATTTCCTGGTATAATTTTTTAAGTTGATTTTTTAAATTTTATAAGAAATGTATGCTCTATTTACAGATAAACATTTATATATAAATTTATCTATAATGATATATATCAACTATTGTATTATATATGTCACTTATGAATCTATGCTTACACACATTACTAAAGTGTACTTGTTAATATAATTACTTCTTACTTTCAGGATTGAATGTATTTATAATTATCTCTTGGTCTTCATTGTTTAGGTGGAGAATAAGTAGAGTGTGGATAGTTGAAATTTACTAATAGTTTAGTGCATTGTGACTGGTCTGGGTCTATGGCATATTTCTTGTAAAAATTACTTGCTTCATGAAATTACTCTCAACTAGCTTTATAAGGCTAAGTTCTAGTTAGAATTGTTAAAAAGAGCATACCTCCAACTGTTTCAAGAAATATGGTAGACACATTTTCTAGTGGAACACCAAAATGTGTTGTTTCTGTTGGATATAAAATTTAATAAGATCTTCTTAAAAGTATTATAGAATTGGTAAGATGGTAAGACTAAAAATCAAAGTGAAGGAATGAGCCCAAAGAGTAAGTTTGGAACACTGAAACTCACTTTTTGAGATGATGAATATGCTTGTGTGTATAAACTTGAACTTTATTTATAATGTCCTTTAGAATGTGTCTATGTAAGTAAGGTAGGAAGCTTTAATAGGAGCTCATTCCCCTTATTGAAATGCTTTTACCAAGGGATGACATTCGTAATAAGGGTTAAATGAGAATCATTTCCCCCCTAAAGCCCCTGGAGCACTATAAAGATAGCTGCCTTGGTTCTGAGGAGTGCTGTTGTAAGTAATGGAACTTGCCCCAGAGGAGCTGTATCTTGGTTTTGAAACAAATCTGTGCTACTTTAATGGTCCAATAAATCTTAAGTCGGGGATTTGGTTTTAAAGGGTGTTAGATTTGTGTTGTCCCTAGTCCCTGGCAGAATCAAAAATACATTCTTTATTTAGGAAGGTGTCTTTATCCTTGTCCTCAAAGAACTCCTTTTGGTAAGTTTTGTAGCTCTATAAGCCCCACCAATCAAAATTACCAAACATACTTGGAAAAAAGTTACCCAGCAAAAATGCACTCATTTGTTTAGATATTGTGGTTGATAGAATTATGCTTTAGCTTTAAAGGAAATAAGGAATGCTTGAAAGTAATGACCTAACACATTTGAAAAAGAACTGAAAATATCCTTTCGAAATGAAAATTGGAATTAATAAAATTAAAATACAGCAAAGGTTTAATAGATTAGAAATAGCTAAAGAGCATATTACTAGACTAGAAGATATATAAGAAGAAGTTATCCAGCCTGTAATGGACAGCTGTCGGTAAAGATGGAAAAAAGTTGCAAGATTTGGAAAATAAACTGAGTAGGTCTAAGGTACATTAATTGGTATTATAGAAAGGAGACAGTGGGTGAGAGGCAAAATGTAAAGAGGCAGTCACTAAGAATTTTTTAGAAGTGAAAAGAAAACCTGTAATTTTATGAAGCCCAACAAATCCCAATCATGAAAAGTAAAAGAAACCAATATATACATTGCATTATAGTGATACTCCAGAACACTTAAGACTGGGAAAATCTTAAAAGTACTCAGGAAAAAAGTGGAATTATCCTGAAAACAGGGACAGTGAAAGTGACAAATGATACAAATTGACACAGCAAATAAGGCATATGGAAACAAAACCACCAGAATTCTGTACTGGGTGAAGCAGTGTGGCATAGTCTCACCATGGCATTCTTCCTTGTGATGAAGGCACCAGGGGCAGTTCTGAAAGACAAGAGCTACTACTCTCTGTCCCATGTCTCCCTCACCCCCAGATGTAGGGTGCTTCCACTGCTACAAAATCGGTGTGTCCCATTCCAGTAATAATTTCACCTTTTTTTCCCAGCAGTTTTCTACTTGCACCTCACCTTTCATTCAAAAGGTCAGATACAATAGGAACAAAAGCATTTTTGTAAAATTATAGGGACCATTTGTGCCTCCCACTTTGGCCAGCATGGGCCACTGATGAGGAACTGGAGTAGTGTACTAAACCAAGTAATCATTATTTTGATTCTCTAAGACTATTCAGCACAACAAGGAAATCCAGGTGTCTGAACTGGAATTAAGTTTGGGAGCCACCTACAAGGTTTACCAACCAGATCAGCCTAGGGGAATGAAAAGGATAAAATTCTGTATTTTTAAAATAGATATCTCTTACTCCCACCCTTTTCATCATCATTACGTAGGAAGCAGCTGTGACGTAGAACTGCCTTAAGGAGGTTTGTGGAACAGAAGTAGGTGAGGGAAACAATTACCATTTTTTTAAGTTGATTTGTGAGGATGGTAGAGAGCACAGAAGGTCCATTGAATATTTTGACTATTGTTCTGTTTTTTAATGGTTTTTATGTAAAAACATACACCATCATCAGATTACAAATGGTTTATAGAAGTTGAAAATATGAAACAGATTAGTTTCAAGGGCCACCAGGATGTGGCC